TTCCTTCCTTCCTTCCTTCCTTCCTTCCTTCCTTCCTTCCTTCCTTCCTTCCTTTCCTCATTAGTTAATTTCCCTTTTATCTCTGTGTAGGGAAGAAAGGAAAAGTAAAAGGGATACGGAGCCCCATTTTTCTAAAACCTCTTTTTAGAACTTTGTGTGCAATGTCGTTAGTAGAAGGAAATTAATGTAGCCTGAAACAGACCAATTAGTTATACACGCTCCTCTTATCCTGTAAATTCTTCCCAACTTTTTCAATTCCTTCCTGTGAAGAATACGATTATTAAAAAAACCCTTAAGAACAGACTGTCTACTTCTGAATTTGTTGAATTCCCACGCTTTCCTCAGATTCAAAAGGCAATTTTTTAGCTAAGAAAATGTCATGGCATCATCTGAGCTGTATGTTATTTTTTGTTTTTTCCCAAAGGACCGTTAGTTACTGGAAAAGTTATTGCAGTATGGTGAACGGCACGGGTAAGTGTCTCAATGGAACCGTATTGTTTATTTCTGTGTAGAACACACAAATACACATTTGGGCCTGCACTAAGATAGATCGAGGATGGAACTGAAGTCTAAGCACAAAGCTCCTAAAGATCTTACTTCAACACATCACATAAAATAATACAGATAAAATAAAACAGTGGCCCTGCTTTTGTTCTTTGCCCTGTCAAAATTAAGGCGGGAAGAAACTATGAAGTTTATGAAAACAGGAAGATTTCAAGGACGTTCCCAAGGTTTTAGAAAATAAAGTTCCATTTGCTAGAAGCAAATAAAATTGGTTGCACTTGCTACACCAAATGTGAAGTGGCATGCTTGGAGGGCTAAACGTGAAAAGAAAAGACAGAAAGATTAATTTAAGGGTCCGTTTTCAACTTATTTCCCCCAAGCTTGCCATTTAAGTGTGAGAGCACGAGTTGTTAGAATAGAATTCTTTATAGAATATTATTCTTTATTGGCCAAGTGTGATTGGACACACAAGGAATTTGTCTCGGGTGGCATAAGCTTTCAGCGTATGACAAACAACAAGTGATAAGTCATAGATCATTTTGCCTTTTAACACACACACACGTGCGCACACACACGCACGATTTTTTGGGGGGTGATTTTGGCCTAATCACACTCTCACTCAGCTCCAGAAAATCATGCTGACAAACCACTTCCAAAATGTTGGAAAACTGCATGGATTTCTCTGCGTAACCACGAAGAATCAGGATATTCTCAAGCAACCGTAACAATAATCGACGGTTCGCTATCCCACCTCTCAGATATTTGAAGGAGCTTTGCAAGATCTTTATAGAGACGGCATCAGGATTTTTTTTTTTGCCAAATTCTCAATAAATAGGGTGCTTTATTTAAATGTTAAGTCTGTCTCCTAAATAATAATAATAATAATAATAATAATAATAATAATAATAATAATAATAATAATAATAATAATAATAATAATAATAATAATAATAATAATAATAAAGTTGGAAGGGACCTTGAAGGTCATCTAGTCCAAACCCCTGCTCAGGGAGGAAACCCTATACCATTTCAGACAAATGGCTGTCCAGTCTCTTCTTAAAAACTTCCAGTGTTGGAGCATTCACCGCTTCTGGAGGCAGGTTGTTCCACTGGTTAATTGTTCTCACTGTCAGGAAATTTCTCCTTAGTTCCAGGTTGCTTCTCTCCTTGATTAGTTTCCACCCGTTGCTTCTTGTCCTGCCTTCCGGCGCTTTGGAAAATAGCTTGACTCCCTCTTCTTTATGGCAGCCCCTGAGATACTGGAAGACTGCTATCATGTCCCCCCTCGTCCTTCTCTTCATTAAACTAGACATACCCAATTCCAGCAGCCGTTCCTTATATGCTTTAGCCTCCAGTCCCCTAATCATCTTAAATCACGTGGAATCCATCATCTTGGGCACCTACTGTTTGAGAAGTGGTTTTCCAGGTTTAAATTATTTGTTAAGTCCAAATTTGCGTTGAGGTCCTCAGTCTGTCAACTCCAGAAAAATGTGGACCTGCCTGTTGTAAGCAGGAGAAGATACTGTTTAGTTCTGGAAGGCCTTTATTGGCCTCTGATGACCCAACAGATAGAACAGCTGAGTTGGATGAACAGGGAACCAGACAGACCCAGTTTCAGTTGTAAAGCCGTGCTTTGAATTCAAATGCAGGATTTGCGTATGAGCTGCAAGGCGAGGCTCACCATTCACAAGTTGTTCTGATTGTAATTCACAGATGCAGCTTCGTTCCACCCTTTTGTCAACAAGAGTGACGTGCTACAATTCTTTTCCTCAGATATTTGCAGGTAAATACAAGTAGACCTCAACTTTAGGACCTCCACCGGGAATTTCTGGTGCGAAGCGAGCTCGCTGTTAAGCGAGCCCAATGTTATGATTTTTTTTTTTCATGGTGGATGGTGACTGACTGCCATTGTTAAGTCAGTCATGCCATCATTAATCTGATTGATTTTGCTTCCCATATTGATTTTGCTTGTTGGAAGCTGGCTGACTAGGTTGCCAATGGTGATCGCTCCTACCATCATAAATGCACGACAGTGGGAATCCTGCGATGGTCATAAGTAGAACGATGGATCATAAATCTCTTTTTTTCAGGATCCTTGTAACTTTGACTGCTTGCTAAATGAATGGTTGTAACTCAAGGACTACCTGGAATGGAATTTTCAAATTCAGCAACATTCATCCAGAGGGACTTCTGATCTGGTCTGCTTAATTTCACCATAGGCAGCTTCTCTATTAAAATTGTAACTCAAAATTCAGTTTCCTCCAAACTGGCAGAGACCTTAACCATTTCATGATCAGCCCCATTATTTTGGAAACCAGTTGTGGTTCTTTGAAAAACTCTAGATTCCAAGGCCTCCTGAGAAGATGCAGTTATTTGCTTTGTTTTTATATGGTCTTTTAGAACTTCTGCCTCCCCAAATAATGATGGACTCAGATTCTGCCTTGGTGAGAGGCCAATCACTCCTGCCTGACCCAAGTGCCATGGTGGAGAGCAATCTGATTGAAGATCTCCTCATTTTGATCAGATCCAAGATGTTTAGATGAGAGGTCCCCAATCTTTTTTTTTTTTTTTTTT